TGTATTGTACCCATGTATCATGTACTTGGATCACCAATCTGAATCATCCGAATCACTGCTAACTACATCACCGATCATGTCCTCCTCTTTCCTGCTCCTCCTCTTCCAGTTCGATATCGTTCACATCGAAATCATTGCTTATACAACATACTTGACTTGAATGAAACTACTCCTGCGTTAACTGACCGTCCAAATCCATGTTACCCTGAGTTGCTTCCCCTTTGACCCATAATTCTTACTTATTGCCTCCAACACCGTCAATGGACGGCCCGTCCAGGACACCATGTATTCTGTACCTATTCTCCACCACCACCTCAGTCATGGGCACATTGAAACCTTAGAGCACCCTAGTGTAGCGAGACCAGTGAGCAGGGTCGCGCAAGGACATAAGGACATAGTGTGCCCTAGTCTTCTCAGTATCAAACCTCCCCTTCAGTGTGAAATCACCGCCAAACTTTGTATTCAAACGGACGCAAAGGTCGTTGAAGCTAGGAGGTTCATCAAACCAATCCAATTCTTCTTCCATATCCTCAAACATACCATCTTCTCTCTTAACACTTTCTTCGTAAAAAACTCTAACACAATAATCCATCTACAAAAGCATTTCAAGAAATTTCATCAAGTCATCGAAATCATCGTACGTAATGTCCATAGTAATATTAATACATATTGTAACTATAACTATACTACCTAATCTAATATTAACATCTATACAAGGCTAACTACAACAACTAATGTATAACTAGACTCACTAATTGTACTAACTAAACTAACTAACTTTACTATCTATACTAACTTACTAGATTATCTATACTAACTAAACTAACTAATTATACTAACTATACTTTAGTAATTATATTAACTTTATTTATTTTTCTAACTTACTATACTAACAATGTCGATTCAATCAACAAATAGACTAGGGGAGTACCTTGTGGCAGCGACGCTCGTCCTCGCGGCGACGGCGCTCTAGACCGGGCCGGGAGGCGCGGGCGCTGGCCTCGGTGGCGGCGGCGGGTGGACACGGGATAGAGAGAAGGGCGTGCGACAGTTAGGAGCGGTGTACAGCGCGACAATGAGGGCGGTGGCGGGCGCGGCGGGTGGCCAGAGGGGGTGGCGCGGCGGGTGGCGTGAGGCCACGGTCGGCGGCAGGCGCGGCGGGCAGGTAGGCGGGCGGCCGGGCAGGCGGCCAGGTGCGGCAGCCGGCAGGCGCGGGCGGGGGCGGCGGCTGCGTGAGGGCAGGCGGGCGGGTGCGGGCGTGCGTGCGATGGGCAAGGCGTGGCGCCGCGGGACTGGACCGCGGGCCTTTAGTCGGCTCTGCCGCGCCACCGATCAGGGTGCGTCACTACTGCGCCAAGATCGGTGGCGCGGCAGACCCTGCCACGTCACCGGTCAGCGCCCTGTCGTCGCCACGCCATCTCTCTCGCCGCGCCATCATGCATGGCGCGGCACAGGCGTTTCACCGTGCCAGGGAAATAGACGCGGACAAAAGTGTTAGTTTTGGAACAAGAAAAAAACAGTATTAAATTTAAAATTAGTTTACAAAAAAATGTTAAAACAAATTCTCCACTGCTGCCTGCTGTGCTCATGGCAGGGGCAGCGCCGGCAGCCGCTACCTGCACGGGAAACGGGTGAGGGCGCTCAGCTTCGGCTTTGCTTACTGCTTTCAATTGGGCCGCCGCCGCTCAGTCGCTGGCAAGCGGCTCTCGTGTCCGAATGCGCTGGACTCACCTGGGAATAGGCATGAATTGCACATATCCGTTTTAGTGCAATGCGTGCTCGTGAGTCGTGACAGTCATATGAGACAAATGCCTGCTTCAGCAGACGATGCTATGTACTCCTATTATGAGATTTTTCGACAGTCTGGATCAGACATAGAGGCCCGTACGTAGTTCGTGTGTTGCATCATGCACGCAAAGATCTGTAGGCGTACAAGTCTGGAAGGGAGGAAAAAGTGAGGTGTATTGCAATCCATGCCGTCGCGAGGTCACACTCACACTGTCACACACACCGGCCAGCCTGATCACTCTCTGTCATCGCATTTCCTCTTCCTGTCTTCCACGTTCAGCGGGCTAGATTGCGATACTAAACGGTGGATACGCCTGATACTCTGCCCGAGTATCAATCCTGCTTTCATTCAACCAAGCGTCTCATTGTCTGCAATGTTACAAACGATATGCAATATAAACGATGCAGAATAGTAAATTAAACACAGGGACACGAGATTTTAACGTGAAAAACCTTTCCAAGGAAGAAGAGAAAAAACTACGGGCACCAGCCAACAAATCTTCACTATATCGGGTGAGGTTACAAACGTCTGGGATTTACAATTTTTCTTATCCCAAGACGACGATTTACATGAAGTATATATAGATGGAAAATCCTAATAGGCGACGATCCAAACCGTGGGGGGCTCCGCCCCACACCCCGAGGCGTGGTAGGGAAACATGATGGACTAATTTCAGCCTCCGCTTTGCTTCGGCCCAAGCCTCCCGGCGACGTGTCTCGTTTCGCTCTAGTAGAAATTAGCTTTTATCTTGTACAAAGCTGAATTTGGATCACAACTCAACAAACTCCACCTTGAGATAAATTTCTTCTTGTAGCATAACACGAACCTTCATCTCTGAAACAACAAAGAAATACTTCTGGTGCCAAATAGCCTCTTGGGCGAACCAGTTATATCAACTAAGCTTGAGCAAAGCTTAAACTGAGCAACAGAAACTGGCTTTGTCAACATATCAACAAGATTATCATGTGTGCTTATCTTGCATACGTTCAGCTTACCTTGCGCGACAACATCGCGAACATAATGGTATTTGACATCAATGTGCTTCGTTCTCTCATGGAACATCTGATCTTTAGTTAGGCATATAGCACTTTGACGGTCACAAAATAAATTAATGCAAGAATCATCTCCACAAAGCTCAGCAAACAAACCTTTCAACCAAACTGATTCTTTACATGCTTCAGCAACAGCCATGTATTCTGCTTCAGTGGTAGACAGGGCAACAACGGACTGTAATGTTGCCCTCCAACTGACAGCACAACCACCAATAGTGAACACATAACCTGTGAGAGATCTACTTTTATCCAAATCTGCAGCAAAATCTGAATCCACGTAGCCAGTGAGTCCCTTATCAGTCCTGCCAAACTTCAAACAAGCATTTGTTGTGCCACGAAGGTACCTAAAAATCCAGTAAACAGCCTTCCAATGTTCTTTATCAGGATTAGCTATGTATCTACTAACTAAACTCATAGTATATGATAAATCAGGACGAGAGCAAACCATGGCATACATCAAAGAACCAACAGCACTAGAATATGGAACTCTTGATATGTACTCAAAATTCTCATCCGTACTAGCACATTGTAAAGCTGATAATTTGAAATGCGGAGCAATATGAGTACTAACAGACTTTGCATCATGCATGTTGAAACGACAAAGAACTTTCTTAATATAACTTTACTGACTAAGAAATAACAAACTAGAATTTCTGTCTCTTGTAATCTCCATACCTAGAATCTTCTTAGCAGCACCAAGATCCTTCATCTCAAACTCACTACTCAATAGTTTCTTCAATGTAGTGATTTCTTTCTTGCTCTTGACAGCAATCAACATATGATCAACATATAACAGCAAGTATATATGTGATCCATCAATAAATTTAATGTACACACAACTATCAAATTCAGACCTCTTAAAATCATATGACATCATAAAAGAATCAAATATTTTATACCATTGACGAGGAGACTGTTTCAAACCATATAAGGATCTTTTTAATTTGCAAACATGATCCTCCTTACCAGGTACTATGAACCCTTCTGGCTGGTCCATATATATCTCCTCCTCAAACTCTCCATGTAGAAACACAGTCTTTACATATAACTGCTCAAGCTCAGGATCTCGCATAGCAACGATACCAAAAATATACAAAATGAACTATGCTTTACAACTGGAGAGAACACATCATTATAATCAACACCAGGAATCTGACTAAAATCTTTTGCTACTAACATTGCCTTAAATCTTGGAGGCTCACTAGGAGACAAACTCTCCTTTCTCTTGAAGATCCATTTGCAACGAACGCCTTCTTTTGTTTAGGCAAGCGCATAACATCCCATGTGTTATTTTTTTCGAGTGACTGCATCTCCTTCTCGCATAGCGGAAATCCACTTCTCGCGGTCACCAGAAACAACAGCTTCAGTGTACGTAGCCGGCTCATAAATGTGCTCCACCTATTCAGCACAACTAAAGGCATAATGAATAATATCACATTCCTCAATTAAACGTGGACGAGGTCCACAATTTCTCTTTGTTCTATGATCTGCAATAGACTGATTTTGAGGCTGCAAAACAGGAGGTGAGTACTGAACAATTCATGAACATTGTTATCAATAATTTTAGTTTTCTGATCATCTACGTGCTCCACCTGCACGATAACAAGTTTCTGCTCCTCATCAGAACCAACTGGAGAAACATCTATGGACAAACTATTATTAAACATAACAGATTCATTGAAAATAACGCTCCTGGTCATGAAAGTCTTTTTAGTTTCAGGATTCTATAACTTATATCTTTTAACTCCAGAACCATAACCAAGAAACAGACACTTAATGGCTCTAGGTTCTAGCTTTCCATTATCAACATGAGCATAAGCAGTGCAACCGAAAACTCTCAACTATGAATAATTAGCAGGCATACCAGACCATACTTCAATGGGAGTTTTCTTATTAAGTGGGATAGAAGGTGACCGATTGATCAAGTAACAGGCGGTGTTAGCAGCCTCAGCCCAAAAACGCCTATTCATACGAGCATTGGACAGCATGCAACGAGCCCTCAAGATGATGGTTCGGTTCATGCGCTTAGCCACACCATTTTGCTGAGAAGTGTACGGGATGGTGTGATGCCTGACAATGCCTTCTTCCCTGCAGTAATCATTAAAAGCATCCGAACAGAATTTACCGCCATTGTCAGTACGAAGCAATTTTACATTCTTTTAAGTTTGCCTTTCTATCATAACTTTCCACTCTTTAAAAGCTGCAAAAGTATCATCTTTACTTTTCAGAAAATAAGGCCACACTTTTCTAAAGTAATCATCAATAATGGTAAGCATGTAACGAGCACCACCATAAGAGGGCTTACGAGACGGCCCCCACAAATCAACATGTACATAATCAAGTGTAGCTTTGGTGATATGAACAGATGCATTGAATTTTACCTTCTTGTGCTTACCAAAAACACAGTGCTCATAGAACTTCATCTTACCCACAGTGCAGCCATCCAGCAAGTCTCTCTTGATCAATTCTGCCATACCAAGTTCACTCATATGCCCAAGATGCATATGCCAAAGATTAGTTTTACTTGGTTCATCATTAGAAACAATAGCAGCAGTGATGGAACCATGTAAAGTACTTCCTCTAAGAACATATAACTTTGTAGACTTTATATCACCTATCATATAAATAAGAGAGCCTTTTGATACCTTACACAGTCCACCTGAACCGGAGTGTTGGTACCCCTCGGCATCAAGTGTGCTGAGGGAGATGAGATTTTTGGGCATCCCTAGTATGTGTCTCACATCTTTCAGTGTGCGTATCATGCCATCATGCATCTTGATCTGAACGGAGCCAATACCCACGATCTCACGTGGGTTGTTATCTTCCATACGCACGACATCTCCACTCTGCACAGACTCGTAAGAACTGAACCAATCTCTATTAGAGCATATATGAAACGAGCATGCAGAATCAAGTATCCATTCATCACGACCAGCAACACAACCAGCAAAAACAAACAAGAACGTCTCCTGAATCAGAATTATCAACAGCGGAGACAATAGAGGCCTTACCATCACCATCGGATTTGTTTTTCGGTTTATACGTACCGTTTCTTTTCTCCTTATTCAGTAGCTTTCAATAATCCTCAATGATATGAGTATCTTTCTTACAATACCTACATAACTTATCCCTGCCTTTGGACTTCGAATGACCTTTACCGTTCTTGTTCTTGTCTCGATTATTGTTGTTGTAGGTTTTCTGCTCGGGCCTGCCTCTAACCTGCAACACTTCACCATTAAAGGACGACACGTCAGACTGAACCATACCTTTCATCTTCTCCCTTGTCTGGAGGGCCTCATATACTTCCGCAAGGGTTAGTTCATCATGGCTTAATAGTATGATATCTCAAAAATTTGCAAACGAAGTAGGCAGTGAGCATAACAGTAGAAGAGCTAAATCTTTATCATCATATTTTACCTCCATCGACAATAGGTCGGCAACGATCTCCTTAAAGATCGATAAGTGGTTCATCACGGAACCACCTTCTTGCAGTTTGTGCGTGAACAACTTCATCTTCACGTGCATGTTACTGGTTAGATCCTTGGACATGCAGATCGATTCCAGCTTGAGCCAAAGTTCTACGGCAGTTTTCTCCTGCAACACTTCTTGCAAAATATCATTATGTAGATGAAGTTGAATCAGAGATAGAGCCTTACGATCCTTCTGCTTCTCTTCAGCGGTCCATGACTTCTGTCCTTTTTCTTTGAAACCATCCAACGCCTCATCAAGATTCGAAGATTGTGCCAGAATCGCCCGCATCTTGACTTGCCACAGCGCAAATCTCGTCTTGTAATCCAGCAGTGGTAGATCAAACTTCATCGATGCCATCGCGAAACCCTAAGGTGAAACCAAGCTCTGGTACCACTTGTTAGAAACGATAGACAATATAAATGATGAAGAACAGTAGATCAAACACAGTGGACACGAGATTTTAATGTGGAAAACTCTTCCAAGGAAGAAGGGAAAAAACCACAGGCACCAGCCAGCAAATCTTCACTATATCGGGTGATGTTACAAACATTGAGGATTTATAATTTTTCTTATCCCAAGACGACGGCTTACCGGAAGTTTATATAGATGAAAAACCCTAATAAGCGATGATCCATACCACAGGGGCTCCACCAGGGTCTCGCTTCACTCTGGCAGAAATTAATCTTTATCTTATACATAACTGAATTTGGATTACAACTCAACATGGGGATTTTTTGAACAACGATCGAGGACAACCTGCATAATCGACAAAGGATTTGGATTTGGATTTGATTTTCTTCCCTCAGCTCGATACGCATGGGTTCGCTGTGTTCGAGACTTCGAGTAGGAAAGATCCATTCCTTTCTCTCACATTCCCAATTTCCCAGTCTAGTAAACCTGCCATGCAGTCCATGCTGGCATTTGCGAGTGTGTAACTGCCACGTTGTGAGTTGTGACAAACCACACGGTCCACACGCAAAGTGTAAGACAGATGACAGCCACATCCAAACGTCCTTGGACGAAATGGGAAAACGCAACAAACCAAACAAAAGCACTTACTTCTACAGTTATGCTACAGTCTAACATGCAAGCACATTCTCGTATCCGTCTTTCTTGGCGTCTTCTTTTCTCCTCGGCGTTCCAAAAGGCGAACTCCGAGGATATCCATGAACTATGTGCAGATGCTGATACTCTCACTGCTGCTGCTCACGCCTACCACGCCATGCATCACAGTCAACAGAAGGTTCCAAAACATTTGGATCACCTCAACTCGACTACGTTTACACCCCGGCGATCCAGCGGTACATCACCATGAACGCCGTCTCCTCCTCCTCGTCGGACCCCGGCGCCGCCGACATGTCCGCGGCCTCCGCGTCCCACAGCCACGGCTCTTCCTGCCGCTGCTGCTGGCCCTGCCCCTGGCTCCAGCGCGAGCTCCACCGCCCCGAGAACGTGTAGGCGGACGACGCCAGCCGGTCCACGTACTCCCTCAGCCACCCGCGCGAGGAGCCCGCCGCCTCGGCCACCGTCTCGCCAGGAGGCGGAGGCGCCGGCGCCGACCCCTCCTCGGCCGAAGGCTTCTCCATCTCCTCCTTGACGGCGCTGGATTCCCTCGCGGTGATGCGCGCGACGCGGGACACCACGGCTTCCACCTCCTCGTCGATTTGGTAGTCGAAGGAGCCGAGCGAGTAGGTGCGGGTGCTGTTCCTGTTCCTGTCCCCGTTCCCACCGGCCGCCGCGGGCGAGCCGCGGCTGCTGCTGACGGTGCCGATCTCGACGAGGAAGCTCGAGCCGGACCGGTCCCTGCTGGTCCTCGGCGGCGGCCGCTGCTGCGCGGCGGCGGCGAGCATGGCGGAGAGCGAGGGGTGCGGGAGCGCGACGACGGCGGCGCGGCAGAGCGGGCAGGACGGCGTGGTGCGCAGCCAGGCGTCGACGCAGGCGGCGTGGAACGCGTGGCGGCACGCGGGCAGCAGCCGCAGCTCGGCGTCGGGCGTGAACGGCGACAGGCAGACGGCGCAGTCGGGCGAGCTCTTGGGGAGCGCCGCCAGCGCCGACGCCACCGTGAACAGCGGCAGCGAGTCGATCAGCCGCTGCTTCTCGTCGTCGCCCGCCGCCGCTGCCTTCTTCCCTGCGTCGCCTGGAGCAGCCGCGGTAGCGGCAGGCCTCGCCACGGACGCGTCCGCCGTACTCCCCGCCGAGCCTGCCTCGTCGCGGTGGGTCCGCGGGAGCGGAGGTCCAGACGACGACGACGAGGAGCGGTCGGAGAGGAAGCGGAGCAGGAGGTGGATGGAGACGGAGGCGAGGAACACGAAGGCGAGCAGCGCGGCGATGATCATGAACGCGGGGAGGAAGGACGAGGACGCGGAGTAGGGGGAGGTGCCGCCGACTGCACCGGCGGGAGGCGGCTGTAGAGACGGGGAGGAGGAGGAGGAGGAGGAGGACATGGCGAGCGAGGCTAGCTGCCTAGACAGGGACGATGGGTTTCACCGCGAGACCCGGGACTGGGATGCCGCAGCTTTTATTCGCGCCGATCTTTGGAGTGCGTGGCACGGTGCGGTGGTGCGGAAACAGAGGCCGGCGCGCGCGCGGGAGTAAATAGTGGTTGCCGCCTTGCCGGGTGTGCTCAGCTCAGCTCAGCTCGGCCAGTCACTCCGATCCCATGCTGCCGGAGTTCAGCCGTGTAAACCAATCCACGTCTGCACTCCGCAACTGCACAGCTACACTGAACAGACAAGTCCCGATTGTGTAATTGCGTAAAACTGATCTCTACTCTTTCTTAACAACTACTCCTGCTCCTGTATAATCCATCCCAGGGAACTAATGAATGTTAGCACATCCATCCATGCATCGACGGAGATGGAGTGCCACAGTGACCGACGAGCATTGATTGCAGTACATGGAGCCATCAATCCGACGGAATCCATCGCAAAACACTCGATCAGATTTCAGATCGACAGCATTACGGCTGTGGCTCGTCGTAAATAATCGTAAATTTTCAGTCGGAATAGTATTTTTCTCTCACACAAACCAGCCAGCAGTACTTCTTTACGAACCAGCAACAAAACGAACCAGCCAACCGAACTGGCTGTGTAGGTACGTATTGCACCGTAGATGCTGTGCTACTGTATTCCACTAAACTACAGCATTAGCGGAAGCCTATCTATAAAAGCCGTCGGATCCGGAGACGTACCAATAGGTAGCGTAAAGCGCCACCGCGTGCACGTATTGTCGACTGATCATCGTACTATACACATGCTGTAATGCCACCAAATATTCATTCGCGTGTGCAATACAAGCAGGTATACCCTCTGTAAATTGTAAAACACGTCGCAGTTCGTGGGCCACTTGCATCCTTATGATGAGTAATGACGTGCCATCATCTGACAAATTGCAAGAACATCTCTGACCTAGAGCTTAGAGGGAGAGAAGGAAAACGATGGAGGGAGAAGGAAAATGTTACTCTACGTCATGACAGGTGCGCGTGTGGCATTTCTAGAAATGAGTCCGAGGTCCATGATTAGCTCTGCATTTAGTCACTTGGATCCACCGGCGGCACCACATGTACATAGGCCGTGCAGATGAGAGGAGTATTGATTTTTTGTACCGATCAGTAATCAGTAGATTAGCAGTACTGGTGGTTGACAATTGACAGGCGTATTCAATAACATACTCCACACGGCCCGCGTCGCTCTCCTCCTCTGGGAGCGACTCGGGCGGCACCAAACACCGCCGCCGCCGGTTCCCTCCCCCACGCCTCCTCAGTCTGGCCGCCGCCGGAGTTCGGCGCTGAGGGTCCGGCGTGGAACAAGGAAGGCAGCGGCTTGGATTCCTCCCTCCCCCCCTCTCTCTCGGTGGAGCACTTCGTCGGCGGCGAGGAGTGCATGGGGCGACAGTCGGCGGCGCTTCTCCGGCCATGGTATGGCCGGATTCAATGCCCAGCCGCTCGGATCTGTCACCTTCGGGCTGGGGCCGGGTCGCTGGTGGAGTGGAGGAGCTAGTGGCGTTGGGGGCGGCCATGGCGAACGGTCTGTCTTGCCGGGCTGCAGCTCTTCATCTTCTTCACCAGCTCCGGCGGTCTCTGGTCGATGCGGGGGCGGCAGTGGCTGCGGCAGGGGCCATGCGCCTGCACGGGCGTGGCGGCGAGGTTGCTCTAGATCCCCTTCCTTTCGATCCAGCCATTCCGGGCTGCAGCTGCCACTGTCCATGCGGATCCGGCCGAAACTCGCCGGTGCGGGCGGCGATGCGGCGTGGGGCAGAGGTGGAGGGCAGGGGTGGTGTGACTTCAAGGCCCTCTGTTTCGATTGTGCTGGATGTGGGCGAGCACCGGCGAAAGCCATGTCGGATCCGTCGGCAAGATGGTGGCGACGCCTTCGGGCGTCGTCTTCCGCCTTGGAGGCGTTGTCATGGTGTTTTCCCACTTCAGCCGACTGCAGAGGTGTGTCAGCTGTGCCATGGTGGCGTGGCCAACAGCGGCTTGCTTGGATGAGTGCCGGTGACGCCGTGGTGGTGTGGCTGACAGTAGCCAAGCAGGGGCTGAAAGTGCAATCAAGCCCTAATTGTGGGTTTTGGTGCTAATGACCACGCAATTAGAGAACCAATAAGATTTATCGAGATGACAAGCAGGGAATTCATGTTCGAGGATGCTACATGAAACGGAGGAGCCCTCAATTACAAATTGAAAGGTCGAGATGGCGGACTAGAGGGGGGTGAATAGTCCTTTCTAAATTTAATAGCGCTGGCTAACCGAAATAAATGCGGAATTAAAACAATTGGTCTAGCCAAGACTACACCCCTCTATCGAAGTTCACAAGCACCTTATAAAGATCCAAATTAGCCAACAAAGGTGTCGGGCTAGCTAGAGCTCACCTATCCAATTCTAAGAGGAGCAAGGTCACACAAACCTATGCCACTAGTATTTTGCACACCGGGGAGCTCCTACACAATTCTAGTAAGCAAAAGCACAAAAGCTCCTAAGCTCACTAGCAATGCTCAATAACAAGACAACCAATGCCAAATTAGAGAGCGCAAATACTTAGCTACACAAACTAAGCAATATGACTAACAAGGTTACACAAACTAAATTAGCTACGCAGGGGAGCTACTTTTATGCTACACAAGCAAGAAGGTAACTAGTGAGCTACACAAGCTAACTAATTACAAGAGCAACTACACAAGCACAATGTATATGAAAGTAATTACAAGCTTGTGTAAGGGGTTTGCAAACCAACGGGAAGAACAATGTTGACACGGTGATTTTTCTTCTGAGGTTCACGTGCTTGCCAACACGCTACGTCCCCATTGAAACAAGCTCCAAGGTTGCCGCCGGTCCTCTTGCTAGTGGTGACCCGCAAGTCACT